CCAATGAGTTTTCTTTATACCAGTTTGAACAGATCCAATGGGTGTTATTTATATCAGTTTGATCAGGTGCAATGAGTTTTCTTTATACCAGTTTGAACAGATCCAATGAGTTTTCTTTATACCAGTTTGAACAGATCCAATGGGTGTCCTTCATACCAGCTTAATCAGTTCTGAATATCTGTAGATTTATACAGTTTATTTGAGTTTGACAGAAAGTAACTGAAAATCAAATAGATGAGAAATAGAATAACAGATTTTTTCAAGTTAACTTTTATCCACTGTTTTAAACCGACAGAATTCATTCATCCCATCTCTCACTGTCTTTTACTGTCATGTATTTAGTGTTGATAATTTCTTATATTTTATTCAAGTGATGGATGCATATTTTCCTTTATTAATATGGTATTACTGATTTAATAAGACTCATAAACATTTTAGGATTCCATTTCGCTGTTGTTACCATTCAGTAACTCTAACGTTATACACTATAAATAAGAAAATGGCTATGCTATGATTTCATTTTGCTGGTTTTTACATAAGTTAGAGTTTTATTCTACTTTGAATTGCCTGAATAAAACCTACCAGCTTAATGAAATTACAGCAAAATTGTGCTCCCAAATGGCACAACTTGAAGGCTTATAACGCTCAAATTCGAAGCTTAAACCATATGGCGAATAACCTTTTGTGCATCTTTGTTCTTAACAAGAAGCTTCGAGAAAAATAGGTAAAATTGCTGAAAAAAACTATGCCAAACGACCTTCATCAGGGCTGATTATGATCGATCTTTGGCTGAAATTCTAACCACATAGATCGTTTTCTTTGTATTTTCAGACTTATCATGCTCTAATAGCGAATATGCTGCAGTCAGAAATGGATCTGATGTTCTATATTAGTCTCAGCACTTTTAATGAGTTCTGTATTAGTGTCAGCACTTTTTAATGGGTGTTTTATATTATTATATTTTATTTTATATTATATGCTGCAATCAAAAATTGGTTTGTTAAAAAACCCATCTTGTAAACCTTTGTTTTATTCATTAAATAGCCAACTTTTTTTTAACCAGCGGATTTTATCCTCGATAGTCCTGAGTTCGAGAGTATTATCTACGTCATGCTCCAATGTGGATATTTTAATATTAACTTGATATTAAAGTCTTCTTCTAAAGAGAACGTTTTTATCTTTCGGAGACTCGTATTATCAAAACTTGATAATGTCATTTTATTCAGCACAAATAAACTTAAAATTAAAATATTTCGTTTCTCAAAGATTTTGTTTTACTGAAGTCCAAAACCTAATCAACTTCAAAAAAACGCATAATTACTAAACTTACTTTACAAGAGAATAGTACAAGTGAACATTAGTTACATTTTCATATTAAATAACTTTTTGTAAATGTTTAATCCAGAAAAAATAACTTCATAATTTTCACTGATTTTCTCCTGTTAGAAATTAAACTGTGTTTTACAAGTTTGATCTACCGTTTTACAGACGCCATATTTTTGGCCTTCCAATTGCTGGGAGCCGGAAAATACGGATTATGGTATGTATACGTAGTGTTTGAATATATTATAAATGTGACCTTTATCGTCAATCAAAATCACTTTGTTTGATACTTTTCAAAACAAGGTGAATTTATTTAGTGGTATTGGTGTCTCTAAGTGTGTCTTTAGGTATTACCAATAGTACCATTTAGTGGTATTGGTGTCTCTAAGTGTGTCTTTAGGTATTACCAATAGTAACATTTAGTGGTATTGGTGTTTCTAAGTGTGTCTTTAAGTATTACCAAAAGGACATTCAGTGGTATTGGTGTTTCGAAGTGTCTTTAAGTATTACCAATAGTAACATTCAGTGGTATTGGTGTTTATAAGTGTCTTTAAGTTTTACCAATAGGAACATTCAGTGGTATTGGTGTTTATAAGTGTCTTTAAGTATTACCAATACTAACATTCAGTGGTATTGGTGTTTATAAGTGTCTTTAAGTTTTACCAATACTAACATTCAGTAGTTTTGGTGTTTCGAAGTGTGTCTTTAAGTTTTACCAAAAGGACATTCAATGGTATTGGTGTTTATAAGTGTCTTTAAGTTTTACCAATACTATCATTCAGTGGTATTGGTGTTTATAAGTGTCTTTAAGTTTTACCAATAGGAACATTCAGTGGTATTGGTGTTTATAAGTGTGTCTTCAAGTATTACCAATACTAACATTCAGTGGTATTGGTGTTTCTAAGTGTGTCTTCAAGTATTACCAATACTAACATTCAGTGGTATTGGTGTTTCTAAGTGTGTCTTCAAGTATTACCAATACTAACATTCAGTGGTATTGGTGTTTCGAAGTGTGTCTTTAAGTATTACCAAAAGGACATTCAGTGGTATTGGTGTTTCTAAATGTGTTCTTTAAGTATTACCAAAAGGACATTCAGTGGTAAGTACATCAATTATTTACCCCCTGCCATGTAATTTTTTACCCCTGGTTTAGAATCACTGCCTTAACGGCATGTTGCATGAAATGAGGCTTATGTATCGGTTTTAATAAAAACATTTATTAATTCAGGTTTTGAAAACAACTCTACGGTTAATCAGTAAATCTCGAGTTCCTTCCTTTGATTTGTATTTCGTATTTATGGCCAAACTACTAAGGCTATCTACCTTCGTCCCCAATGAACTACTGACCACAAGAAAGACAGCCAATAAACAGTATCCTACCACACACCCATCAGCCACA